GGTTTGCAGGTAAAAGCTGTTCGAGTGGCACTTCTCGACAATGGAATATGGAGGGAATGTAGGTTGTTTTCTACAATGTAAGTGACATGGCCATGAAGGTTAGACCTAGCAGAAACAGAGGAATGTATTTTGTCCAAGCATTTTCCATGGAAGTAGCAATAGAACAGTGAAAGGTTTGCAGCCTCCCACCTCTGAGAGAGGTTGGAGGGTAGGAAATAATTCTTCTCCAACAAGGACTCGGAGACATTTTTGAGCTCAAGACTGGAAAATGAGGACTGGGCAGCTCCTACCTAAATATAACAACAGTATTCCATTTTCAGCCTCAGAGGTTTCTTATTTTGAACCCACTGTTCACTAACAATCATGAAAAGACAAATGGGAGTTGTGATAAAAAGCAACTGAAAATAAGATGAAATGTGTCAGAAATTAATAGTTGACATGACTTCATCTTATAATTTCAAATAATATTACATCTAATACTATTCGTGTAAATCAAAAGAAATAAGATAAAAATATTTGTCAAAAATTAATAGCTGATATGACTTCATATAATAATTTCAAATATTACATTTAATACTACTAGTGTAAAAAAAAAGTAAGAAAAATAAGGTGAAAGAAATATTTGTCAAAAGCTTCAGTTTTTAAATGGTCAGACCAAAGGGAACAAGCTTCAGTTTTTTTGGTTTTTTTTGTTTTTGGAACTCCAGACTTGAACAAGTTAAAATTGTAGTGATCAGAGAAACATCCACTTGGGAGTCTGTTCCACAGAGCAGTGGTTCACAAAAGAAAAGAAAGTTCCTCGAGAAATTCGAATAACCAGGCAAGATTTTGATAAAAATTTATTTGCATTTTGTTTTATTTGTATATCTTTCTTTTCTTACTTTAGAAAAGAAAACCAGAAAACTATATTTTGTTGTAAGTAGGACATTTTAATGAGCAATTTATTCTTCCCTTATATAATCACTGTCCGAAGTAAGGCTTTGAAAATAACAGTGATAAATTATACTAAGTTGAGCTTACAAGCTAATGTTCAGTAAGCTAGCTTTCTGAAACAACATTATTTTAGTGAGTTTGTTCCTCACTGGGCAGCCTGCATGTTAGATTAAGCTTGGCTTAGTAAATACTCATGACTTAAGTTCTAAACTTTATATATTTGTAATGTATTTTTATATTGTGTGAATCATGATGTTCAGTATGTTATATTGTATTTGATGCTTTGTAAAATCCACCATGAAAAAAGTTCCAAATATTAATTTGCACCAACACAAGAACAGATCCTGAATGGAAGCAAATTGACAGGGTAAATGGTAGTTTTTTTTAAAGAATTGGAGACAAAGAACTAAACATTGGAACCATACAGGTGGGTAGTTAATAGTAGTCAAAGAAAAAAAAAAAAAAAAAATTTAAAAAAAAATTAAATTAAAAAAATAAAAAATAATTGTAAAGCATCTTATCTGTAGTAAGCAATTTCACCAATTGTTTCTGTCTTAAAGAATTTAACCAATCTTAGCATCATTAGACATCAAAACCTCAATAACAGCCCAGTCAGCTTAAGAATTAAACTCACTAATAATAGCTTGCAAGATAAGCTTGCTAACAGCAGCAGATGCTATATTTCTCTAAACATGTCCACTGCTTTTACTCAAGCAGGAAACCAAGATATGTAAAACATAATATGATCTTTATTGGAAGTCAATCTTTATTTGTAAGTCAAGGTAAATTAAAGTTTATAGATACAGAGTGCAACAAAAATACCTTCCAGAAATACCCCCCACAGTAAGACAGTGGCAATGATGTCTTCATTGAGCTAATGTCTTACCATTATGTGGGAGGTATTTCTGATGAACTCTGTGTTTACAAATCATTGTATTATTATTATTATTATTATTTTTGTACTGACCTTTTTTTTTCAGCAGCAGCAGCAAAGAAAAAAATAATTACTTAACCAAAAATTAACAAATACTAGTTTGATCTGGATGAGAAAGAAAAATGGAAAAGAAAGTTGCTGAGAAAGTGTGTTTTATTAAAAATTAAACTATATTAAAGTACCAAGTATTTTAGTTAACTTACCCTCTTCGAAAATTTCAAAACTTAAAACAGCAAACCAATATTATAGTAAATAATGGTTCTTGTGTTGCTTATTTTTTCTTTTTTTTTTCAGAGGAAACAAATTTACCTGTTAGAGACTGCAGGTTATTTACAGTAAAAATTCCTAAAAAAGAGGAATGAATATATATATATATATATATATATATATGAAATAAAAAAATTCCTAAGAGAATATATATATATATATATATATATAAAATAACCTCACCTCCCGCCAAAATTATATGTATGTGAATATAAGATATTGCACATAGAGTACTGGTGTTAATAAAATAGTGCTCAATGTAATATAACAGAGCTATTAAGTACATATTAATAAATATAAATATTATTCCTCATTGGTAGCACAATTTAGAGTTTCATGCACAACACAATCTTTAGTAGTACTCAACACCTGAAGATTGTATTGTACATGAAACTCAAAGTCATGTTATTGGTGAGGAATTATATATATATATATGAAATAAAAAGATATAAAATGAAAATAAAAGACAGAGAAAATATATTGGTGACATGAATATTTTGCAGTCTACTAAAAAACAACCAATAATTTTTTTTTTGTTTTTAAATCACTTGATTTTTAAAACTATTTTTTTAATACTTACCTTTATCGGATTTGTTTTTTTAAAACCTTGAAAAAATTTTAATAGTCAAGAATATTTTTAAAGCATCTTCGAAATATGAGGCTTAACAAAAAAAAAAAAAAAAGAAAAAACATTTCTTAAAACATCCTCAAGGTTAACAACAGAAATGCATTTCATGTCCTCACATTAAAAATAAGTCAGTGTTCACAGGTCACTATACTTAATAAAGTACTATCATACCATTCTTATTATTTTCAACGGCATAGAAAATACATCAAATTAATGACAGACCGAAATTTAAGTTAATTTTTCCTGGAAATCTGAATGAGGACAATTTCCGATGTATGTGAGCAAACAGTCAGGAAAAATGACAGCATTTTTCGCAAAATTCTCTAAACTATTTTTTTTTTCTCCCCCTTCCATTGTATTGTTTCCACAGATCATTTTACTTTCATCTTTCTTCGAACATTTTGACTGCTCTGCACTTAAGCCTTCCTTAGGTGATCATTGCTTTATTTTTTTTATATTTTTAATTCTAAATTTGCTTGACGGAGTGTACATGGTCCTTGCCAAATATGACACGTCTAGTGTATCTGCACATTTTTTTAATATAGCACATATATTTTTTGGTTCAGTGGGTCTCATAAAAACTGATATATTCAGGAAGGCTCATGTGGACAACAGCTGAAACATTGTAACAAAAATTGTAATGAAAGACAAGAGAAAAAAAAAAAAAAAAAATAGAATATATAACAAGAGCACAGATCATTAACATATAACAAAAAAAAAAAAATGTAGTCCAGTAAATGTAAGACTGGAATTTAACGTTTTAAGGCAAGCAGATTTTGTAAACAAAGTGCTCAAAATTAAAAAAAATAGTGCAACAATAGTTAAGAGACAAAAAGTTTAAAGACTTACAAAGTTGCTTAAAATTTTTTCTTACACACACATATCTATATATACTTTAAAACTATCTTTTATGTATATATATATATATATATATATATATATATATATATATATATATATATATATATATATAAACTATGCATATATATATATATAAACTGTGTATATATATATATATATATATATATATAAACTGTGTGTATATATATATATATATAAACTGTGTGAATACATATATATATAAACTGTGTGTGTGTGTATATATATAAACTATTTTGTGTGTGTGTGTGTGTGTATATATATATATATATATATATATATAAATAAATAAAAATAAATAAACTGTATGTATGTGTGTGTGTGTGTGTTTTATATATATATATATATATATATATATAAAACTATGTAGTCGTGTGTGTGTGTGTATATATATATATATATATATATATATATATATATATATATACATACACACACACACACACACACACACCTTAAAACTGTATCTTTTCACACACACACTTACATAATACCTTAAACATATATATATGTAAAAGTGGGTGAGAGTATATATAAAAATATCTTTTCATATATACAGTGTAACTTGGGATATAAGAGATTTTCTCTGGTCCCAAATTAGAGCCTGTGTTAATGTATATAAATTAGACCAAACCGGATATAAGAGAAACCCGGATATAGGAGACTTCTTCTCCGGTCTCGACAACTCTCTTATATCCGGGTTACACTATCTATCTATATCTCTATATATATATATATATATATATATATATATATATATATATATAACTTACTGTAACACTATATTTTATATTTGCATGCACAGAGAGAGAGAGCACAACAAATACAACTTCTTGCCCAAATATATTTTGGTTAATTCTACTTTTGGTCAGAATTTTTTGAACCCAAAAATGTATTTAATTATAAGAAAAGTGAATTGAAAAAGATCTTTTTTCCAAAAGTTAACATTGGAACATTGATCTTATATTTAATGTACGTGTTTTTTTTTTAGAATCTTAAATTCAATTTTGTTTTCATTGTTACTTTTTGATTTTATTCTAAGTCTTACACATTTTTTCAATTTTTTTTTTTTAAATAATGCCTGGCTGACAGTCTGATTGAAATGAAAAAAGTCAATATTTCTTGAGAAAACAAAAAATAAAAATAAGAAAAAATAATGTGATTTTTGATTTTTGTTGTGGTATATTTTTTGGTGATGATCAATGGACCGGAACTTTCATTCATGGCTTTTTTTCTTTTCCAAAAAAAAAAAAAAAAAAAAAAAAAAAAAAATTAAATAAAAAAAAATTAAAAAAATATATAAAAAAAAACCCCAAAACAAAGCCAATTAATTAAAATATGCACTAATCAATGAGGTTGTTAAAGTTCTCCCCGATATCCAGTGATGAAGGGTAGTCCAGTACCAACTTTTTTCTGATATTCAAAATAGTCTTCTCCAAAGAAATTCAACAAGTAAATCTCTTCTTCGTAAATCCGTTCTCGAAAGAAGCGCCACGTGACAACCGTGTACCCAACAAGGCACAGCGGATTGCAGAGTATCAACTGAAACAGAACAGAGAAATCAGTGATAATTTGGGTTACAGTTAATCAGAGATTACTTTGTATTTTCATTTCTGAGCCAAGTAATTATCTAAATTATAAAAAGCAGTTTTATAAAAATTTATATAATAAAAAAAGAAATGTAAAATTACATAAAAAGAATTTAAGGGTAAATAAAAAAAATAATACAATAGACTTTGTTTATTACACTTTCTTATTAATAGAAGAAAGTTACTAACATGTATTCCTTAAATGAAGAACTACTATAATAAAGCCAGTTAATACAAAAAAAAAATATGATTAAAATTTAAAAAAAAAAAAAAAAAAAAAAAAGCTCATATCTGAAGCTGGAAAAGAACTGCCAAAATAAAGCCTGATGGTCTTTCAAAAAAGTTACAGGTATAAAATTTGTTTTTCAAAAAGATACATTTTGTGATTTTTTGACCAATGACCAGATTTGTAGCGATTTAAAAAGCTAGGTTGATCAAAGAAGCAGAAGAGTTTTTGCCTTCACAGATGAATGACTTAGGGCTGTTTCTGGGAAAAATAAGTAGATGATGACAAAATCGAAGAAATAGTGAAGGAAAAAAAAAAAAAATGAAAAAAAATAACATATATTAGGGTGGCTATACATTATACAATCCCTATTGTAGATGCCTGCTCAGGCACATTTCTGTTTGTGCAACACAGACAGAGCTCACCTGTGGTTTATACTGAAACTATGCTAAGTGCACCTTAGTTACAGTTTCTGGGAGAGAGCGTGTTATCTAGTGTGATCAACAATTTGAACAAGGCCTGCATGCTCAAACCCTCGGTCACAATGACTTGCAACTTTGTGCTAGTACAACTGTCAACAGCTCCCAAAGTGTTCTGTCAACCTTCACTCTCAAAGCTTGGGTGAACCCATGATGTGATTTTCAGTCACTTCCCAAAGGTGCTGCATGCTGGGACCCTACAGACTGATGACATCAAGAAGGTACTTTCCTGACAAATCAACCATGGTGACATTTGAATTCGGGTCTCATGGTCAGAAAGTGAAAAATCTAATTACTTGGCCATGTGCCCGTTTATATATATATATATATATATATATATATATATATTTATCAATCTAACATGTTTCATTTTTATTAAAGCTTCATCAGAGACTGAGATATGTAGAAAAAGAAAAAAAATCTGGTATTTTTTTACTTTTGTGTTGTTTGATTTTAATTGGTTAATCATGCTTCTTCTTTTTCTCCATCTCTCATTCTCTGGTGAAGCTTTAATAAAAGTGAAACATGTTACATTGATAAACATTTTCTAATTATTCTTTATCTTATCATTCTGTTGGACTTTGATCATTATTTGATTGCAACTCTCTCTCTCTCTCTCTCTGTATGTATATATATATATATATATATATATATACACACACACACACATATATATATATATGGTGAAACCACAATTCAATGGACTAAGGGGGTTCATCCATTAAAGCTGTTTGTCTGTTAATTTGAAGCACTTTTTTCCATGTCTTAAAAACACCTATATACCTTTAAATAAAGTTTGAAAATAAAATCTAGAGTTTGTTGGTTCTGGGACCATTAATTCAAGGTTTTACTATGTGTGTGTGTGTGTGTATATATATATATATATATATATATAATATGTGTGTGTGTGTGTGTGTGTATATATATATATATAATATGTGTGTGTGTCTTCCCCTGTTTTATTCACAGTGCACACCTATTTTAATCCTTAATAAAAACTTAAGTGTGAGGAATGATAACCAGTCAGCTCTTTATTTTTTCTTTACTCCTTGATAGCAATAGAGAAGGTCTGATCAAAAAGTATCTGGGCTGGTGCCATAAATAGAAAACTACAATGGATATCAATTCAGGATTTAATTTCCTTCAAAGTAGTCCCCCTTCTGAAGCCAGTGTCATTACATTCATGGAAACATTCCTGGAATTCCTTTTTTTGGTTTAGCAATCAGCTGCTTCTTCACATTTTCTTGCATTTCCTTGACGTGTTAAAATTTGTGTTCCTTTCAAGTGGGATTTGATTTTTTTTGGTAAGGAGCAAAATCTGGGGAATATGGTGGCTGTCAAATCTGGGGAATGTTTTTTTCTTTGTCTAAAACTGCTCACAAGCCACAGTCACTAAAGAAACCTCTGTACTTTCCTTCCAAGCACTACTATAAACAATAGAAGTGGCTGAGAATGTTATAATTTAGTGTGTATGTGTGACAAAGTTCAAGGTCAATCAGTGCCAAGAGTCTTCATTCAGTGTACTTTAGCTCCGTTACCATAGCAACAGTCCTGATACTTTTTGATCAGGCCTCATATATAATTTTTCCTTCTTGTTCTTCTTTTAATAGCTCTCTGTTTATTAACAACTCCAATAATTAAATACGTTTCTGAAGCCAAGATGAGCTCTTAAACACTTGTTAATGTGACTAATTACCTTCAACAGTAAACAAACCTGAACATGTTCAACTTACCTGTGTGCCAATGCTCCAATAAAACCAACCTACATACGCTGGATGTCGGAAAAGTGAGTAAACTCCATATGTGACCAGTGTGTGTCCATCTTGTTTCACGTGTTGAATATAATGGTTGAAATTGGCCCGAGCTGTGTACATACTACACTTACGAAGAATTTCACCTCCAACAACCATAATCAAACCAATCATACTCAACCACCTTATCTGTTTGAGACCTGCAAAAATTCAATAAAAGTTTAAGTCAAATGCTAAGAACGTTGGTTCACTGTGTCGTGCAAGACAATTTTTCTCTCCAGAATCTATCTGACATATCTACCATTCATCCATGCTTAGAATATTCATGCCACATATGGTGCCCCTGCTATTTACCTTGAGCTCTTTGAGAAAATACAACAAAGAATCAGCAATATTATTGGCCCTGGTATCTCATCTTCAGTCACTTTCCTACTGCCATAAAGTTGCTTACCTGTGCCTTTTCTATAAATACTTTCATTGTAATTGTTCAGATGAGCTCTTCACTATAATACCAAGACTTCATGAATTTAAGCGCAGTACTAGACTGGCATAGAGATCTCATCAATTTACAATCGAGCTGGCGAGATGTAGCCATAAGTTCTGTGCTAACAGTTTCTTTTCTTGTACTTCTCACTTGTGGAACTCCCTCCCTGCTCCATGCTTTCCAGCCAACTTTAATTCTGCAAAAGTTTAAATGCAATGTCAATCGCTATCTACTGTCCTCCTGATTACTTTTTCCTCTTTCCACTCATTATTAATGTTTCTGTTTCTAATTCTTCCACACCATGTAAACCCTTGTGCCTTAGTGGCATTACTGCCTTGCGTGGGGGTGATACTGATAAAAAAATAAAAATGTTTGAAATAGTTATATAATACAGAATATACACTGATATGCTAAAAGTCAGGAGATAACATATTATGTAGGATCCACTCTAGCCCAGCATAGTTTAGCAACCTGATGTGGCATTGATTCTACAAAACTCCTGGAGAGATTTTCATTCATGCCATGTTGATAGCTATCCATAGCTCTCTGATATTTGTAGGTGAATGATCTTGTGTATGAAGAGACACCTCCCCCACATCTCATAAGCATTCAATTGGCCTCATGTTGGTCAAATATAGTGGCCATATTGTCAGAAATCACTAGAATTCTCAAACCAATTCTGGACAACATGGGTAACTGATGACAGCATATATTATCCTGCTAGAATAATCTCTCATCATTGGGATACATGGTGTCTACAAATGGTACAAATGGTCAGGTTAGCTGTTTCCTTGTAAGTAATCATTCAGCATTTATTGAGCAAACAACTAGTGCTACTTTCAGTTGAAATTTATAAAATCTTTCTATAAAAACAATTTTTCAGGAAAATAGGTTTCTGTCATCACTTTTTCCAGTATTGATGGAGGAGGGCTTCCTCCCTAACTTTTTGTTCCAAGTAGTGTAGAATGTCAACATCTTATTTTCTCTTAGAGTTAAATAAAAATTTTTAAAATGTTTGCTTATATATATATATATATATATATATATATATATATACACTTAATCTGACATTTTTATTACTTCAAATGTTTTTATATTGGACACTCATATTTGAAATAGAAACATATTTAGTAAGTAGACATTCCATTTTTTTTTTAAGAGTCAAATTAATCTCTACCAGTATAGGGATTGAAAGTCTTAATAAAGGAAAAGGAGGTTCATTTTCTTTAGCCTGTATTCATTAATTTCACCAATGTTTAAAACAGGGAGGTTTAAACAGATTTATCCACTAAATATAACATTTATATGTTTTTTTATTAATCCATTTTCTATTCCTTATCAACCATTTGCAGGTTATTTAAAGCCAGGAAATATTTTTAGATTATTATAATTTTTGGTGGGGGAGATAATAATGATTTAGTGGTACAAGTCTTACTAATTAACCCATAACTGGGGGGAGAATATGTGGACAAGAATTTGACTACTACTTAAGGTGGCCATATTGTGTCAAATGGCCCAGTGGATAAAAGTAATCCAGTGACTTGACCCAAAGAGTTGTGAGTTCAATACCTGGCCACAGCAGAGGTGAACAAAATCTTGGAGAGTTAAGTTACTAAAGGGAAATAACTAAAACTGAGATATCCAGAAAAGGCATGGCATGTGGAATTAGCACAATCTACCCCCACGGACTAAATAACGAAATTCCAATATATATACCCCAAAACATTGTAAATTTGACAATAAAGATGAGGACAATAGTCCGAACAATGTAAATAGTATAAATAAAAATGCTTATAGTAAATAGGCTTGGTTTAGTAAATCTTTTAAAATATTTCTTTTGTAATTGCCCTGCATGTACATGATAAATATCTGTGCAACGTCAGATCTAACTCGGAAATCTTTAAATGAAAACATTAGATTGCTACTTTTAATTGGCCAGTTCGCTCTGATGTGCAACTCATAATCAACTTCTAATCTGAAGAAATGCCATTTATACAACACTTCATAGAAAAATATGGATTATTCTGTTGATGTCATCCTATCCTTATTAACTTTATATAAACTGAATTTAATCCATTAAAATTTCATGCTTTTCCTATTTGAAATTTTTGATGAATCTTAATCCTTCTGTTAAATGATTGAATAAGCTCATATCAGTAGAAATTCTCCTGTCGCATTGTTAAATATTTGAGCTTAACCTTAGAAAAATATTGCAATAACATTCATAAATATGAATGTTGATCGTTATTTTAAGAAGTGGGTACAAATGAAATGATTTGAAATTGACAACTTTTTCTATTTCACTGAAATGTTAAACCCTTCTATCTTCTCTTCTTTCCTTCACTTTCTCTTTGATATATCCTGTGTCTTCTCACACAATCAAATCAGAATAGTCCATTATTTATGAGGTATTAATTGCTATGTCATTTGGTTTTCCGTGTAATCAAAATGGAATAGTCCATTATTTATGAGGCATTAACAGGAGACATTAAACACTTCCATCTTTCTTTCTTTTGTTCACTGAAACCAAGTAGCATTGCTGATATGTCTTTTAGTTTTCCACACAATCAAAATGGAATAGTCCATTATTTATGAGGTATTGGCAGGGTGTAATGGCTGTGCAAACCAACAAAGAGAGGGACAAGCACAAGTATTATATGATTTTTATAAAAAAGATCACTACTTCTTCCCTTATAGATATTAAATTAAACTACATGATGATCATTTAGTTCAGGGGTCTGCAATCCCCAGGCCACATCCAGTCTGTGGATGATTTTTGTCTAGCCCACCAATTTAACCATAGTAAGGAATTTGCAATTTTTTTTGTTGTGTTAGTTGTTATCCTGTTATTCTTGCAGTAAAATAAGGAATCTAAATTCCTTTAAATAATATAACATTAACTTTGCTGTTTTTTTTTCTTTAAACCTCCTCCAGACTAAGGCAGCCTTCTGGATGGAGCAGTTTGAGGTCAAGACAGTCTATTATAGTGCATTTGATATCAAGGCCTTCCTCCAAGACATTGCATAGCTGTCTGGCTCGCTCTTTCCAAAAGGTTGCCAATGCCTAGTCTAGTTGTTTCTGTAACAAAGATACTGCAATAATCATACCTGAAAAACAGTACCACTCAAGCATAAATTCTGCCCAGCTACTGACTGCAGCCAGTTTGTATTCACGGCTGTGGTCAAGAAGAAATGACTCCAATGACAGACTGCGAGGATTTGTCAAGGCTGTGATGAAATACTCTGACCAGTGGAAAAAGCTCAGGGCCATTATGTACCAGCCAAAGTGGACAAGAGTTGATTTTGCAACACTCAACAGAAGTCCAAGGCCAAAGAAAAGGCCAAGCCAACCTGCTCGTAAAGCCACCTGGAAAAAACAAACAAAAAAAAAACAACTGAATACCAATATGGACCCAAGAATTCTAAAGGGGATCATTTTGAAAACAAATAATAATGGCAACATCATACAATTATGAATCAGCAGGTTCTAAAGGTTTCCTTTTGAAAAGAAAATAGAAAAAAAAAAAAAAAAAACTTTAGCACTGATATCCTTTATGGGAATTCACTGAAAAAAAATAAAAGGGTATTAGCTAAAATACAAGGTGGTAATTGAAAGACTCCAAACTGTATGTCCTATGACTGTACAATTCAATGGAAATAAATACACAGCTAACCACTAATTTTTTCTGCCATCTTCCCAGAATTGTCCTGAAAAAGAAAAAAATTTTACCATCCAGTTTTTTTTTCACAGAATAAAAACCCCATTAGAATGTTATGATATACCAATTGTTATATCAGAACTATATATATATATATATATAAGATATTTATATATATATAAGATATTTATAGGAAAAAGTGTTCAATATCATGGATTTAGCTTAAATAAATATAAGACATAAATTCTGCCCATTATTTAGAAATAAAACAGTCTATTATTTATGAGGTTTTAACAGATTATTATTTATTATTTAAATAATAATCTATTATTTATTTATTATTATTTAAATAATTTTCTTTATTTATTGAAGCAAAATTAGTTCTGACAATCAGATACTAATGTTTTTCCCATTTAGAGATAATGTATTATTAGAATGGATCTTCTATTAAATCCAACAGATTTTTATCACTTTAAACATTATAATCATGATGTTTAACCATTTCTTGTTCGGCTGTTTTTATTCAGTTTAAAGGAGCCCTGTGAAATCTGTGTGTGTGTGTGTGTGTATATATATATATATATATATATATATATATATGCTGTGATGTATAAATACTTTTACAATATGTAAAAATTCTTAAAAATTAAAGTTTTAAAAAAGAATAACTACAAAAACAAGTTACCATGTATATTCATGTATCATCCTAATTTGAAAGCTAATTTTAAGAGGGTTACATCATACATGAAATTAGCATATGTACTGCTGACTCTGGCTGTGCCATTGACCAAACTCATTCATTGTTGTTAAAAAGTACAGATGTATTTAAAATAATCATGATTTTGATAAAACTGATATTTTACTTAACTATATCCAATAATAATGCATGTAATATTCACATATTATAAAATAGAAACATAGAAAAGATGCATCTATTCCATTGTTTATGTTTATAAGATGTTTAACCATTTCTTGTTCAGCTGTTTATGGCTGTAGGTATTTATGCAAAGAGTATAGCGTTACTAAAGATACTTTTATCATTCTCTTTTACTTTTTTAATTAGAAGACGGGATAAAGAGATTGAGAAATTGTAATTTGGTCTCTCAAAAAAGGAACTTGCATAATACATGAGATAAATCATAAAATCATTTTTTATAAATGAAAATTTGGCGGTCGCACATTACACAAGTAGATAAATTTTACTGCAATTTTTATAAAATTCAAAACTTTATTTTTATTTAAACATTTTGTTTAAATCAACTTGAATAATTTTATACAAAAATGTTCATATTAATTGATAAATTATCATCCTTTATGCTCTGCAAGGAACAGGTGTAAAGTTCATAAGCTGACCAAGATATAAATCTAAGTAGACACATCAGTTGGTAGACTAAAAGATATATAAGTGTACCAGAATACAACAGCTGGTAAACTGGTTGTCTTATATTTATTTAAGCTAAATCTATGATATTGAACACCTTTTCCTATAAATATCTTATATATATATATATATATATATATATATATTGTTCTGAAAAAACAATTGGTATATCATATTCTGCTATATATATATATATATATATATTTCTTAGGTCTGTCTAATCATATTGAACACTATTATGTATACACCTTTTGGCTAAATATAACTATATATATATATATATATATATATATATATATATATATATATATATATATATATATATATATATATATATATATATATTATAGTTCAGTTGTATGGATATGAGTTTGTAATTCTGGTTTTCACATTTTTTTGTGATCATCAAACTATTTCTATCTATTTATCCATCACACCATATATATATATAATTAAATATATAAAATGGCAAAAATTTATATATATATATATATATATATATATATATATGGTGTGATGGATAAATTTTTGCCATTTTATATTTTTAATTTCACATATGTACGTTGTTTTTGATTTTGTCAACTACACAATATAGTAAGGTCAGTTGGGCACCATCTGTGAGAAAAAGAGTACTATGACGCAATTCACTCCACCAGAAATTTGGAAACGGCATGCTGTACTGGTAATTCACTACTATTCCTACATAGGATCTGATCATGGTGGCGAAAGCTTGTGTAGAACCAACCGCACTTTTTGGAAGAGCTGATTACAGAGAACTGGTGCACTTAGTGTGTCACAGGGTCCACAAATGATCTTCCTCAGGTTTTGAATTCAAGTTTGTCTTTTTCATAGACCAGTTGCCATGTATGGCTATAGAACACAGTCTGTCCTACTATTTAACCCATAGATGGTAGAAGAAGAGATGAATTCATACTTTTCCCAAGGGTATTTGCATATAAATGAATGTAACAAAGTAGAATGGAATTTGAATTCTGCTCTACGATTCTTCAATCCAAGTTGCTATCCATTACTCTGTGTGTGTGTGTGTGTGTGTGTATGTGTATATATATATATATATATATATATATATATATATATATATATATATAAATGATTTGAGGTAAGGTTTTACAGGCCATATACCATTATTTTCAATTTTATTTTATGAACAGAAAACCTAACACACAAATGACATTTATCAATGGTTCATTCAAGATTTTTTTTTAAATTGATAGAACAAATAATTTTCTTTCTTTGTTTATTTATTAAAGCAAAATTAGTTCTGACAATCAGATACTAATGTTTTTCCCATTTAGAGATAGTGTATTATTAAAATGGATTTTCTATTAAATTCAACGGATTTTTATCACTTTAAACGTTATTTTTAATTTTTAACAGAAACTCATATTTGAGTAGGAATTCCATTTATTTATTAAAAAGTATATTTATTTATTTTCAGGTGAAAAGTTCAAGAAATTTTTCTTTAATTAAATCAAGAAAAATTAATCAAGAAATTTTTCTTTAATTAAATTTCTAGCCTGGAATACTGTTTCATAAATAAATGGAATGCCTACTCAAATGCATAATAATAGTGGCTTCCTTGCAACAATCTCACTCAGTAACCCTTGACCTTGCATGGCGCTTGAGGCTTTAATAAGATGAACTAAAGTAAAAAAAAAAAAAAATATAGAAGAGCTGATTCTTTGTCTCAATTTGACATAACATGTGCTTATGAAATGCATATGCCTATCTTTATTTTGCGTGTGAGTGTTTGCATAAACTTGAGTAATTTGACAAGCACCCACACATGCATATTCTTCTTCTATGTTGTGTCCCGCTAAAAATAATGTTTAAAGCGATAAAAAGATAATACAATACAAATAATATTGTATTTCAGATGTTCAGTTTCAAAATGTTCACAGTTTAATCAAACCTGCTACATTTTCTGACCCAACAAATAAGAATTCATTTGATAAAGGTATCTAGAGGATTTATTGATCAAACTTGATATATTATGGGCTTGAAGTTAATGAAATGTGTTATTAAGTCCCGAAAGGAGATTAACAAAAAGGCTTACCATTAGAAATACCTTATTTGAGTGCAAGTTACACAATGGAAAGATGAACTGGCAGGAATAAATAATTATGGATATTGTAAAGGATAAAGTTAGAAGAATTAATTGCAAAAGACATTTAATTCTTATACAAGTTCACCTATCATCCGGTTTACACTCCTCCCTGGTCTTTTGAACAGAAGTAGAGGTTTATCCCTTGTTTCCTGTTTAGAATTGGGTTTCCAGTTCCTTCTAAAGTCTGATTCAGCTCTATACTCCTAACTCTTGTTTTTTCTTATGCTAATATAATTTGACACAGTAACCCTCTACCTTGAGTGGCTCTTGTATTGGGTGAATATTAGTAAAAGAAAAAAAAAAAGAAAAAAAATGTTCAAATCTAAATTTAAGTCCTCTAACCTTGATTTTTCATGTGAGTTTCTTTCAACAGTTTAAAAACAAGGTTAGGTATTTTTTGGGGTGTGTATGTTTGTATATACATGCTCTATTTATTAAAAGCACACCCATATTCATGAGAAGTAATAATTTCTTTTTTATTAGTTGATTTTAGAATAAATGTAACAGGATTTTAATTAAAAATTTTGTACCATTTTGTCATCATCTTAATAAAACCTTATCCTAAACAAATGTACTATCATCCTCAGGATGATGAAATAACATTAAACTTAACCAGCCTACTTTGTATTATTTACACAGCTTCAATCATTATGCAAGATTTTATAACCTTGTGTTGGAACTGTTAAAACAGGATCTTGCTCAATAAACTGAGTGACAGTATTTCAAAAGACAAGTAGAAAATTGTTCACTGAAGAGAAATTTCAGTAAACTTAAATAATGCCTAATGGTTAAATCCCCTTTGGCAGGAAGGGAGACAATCTACTGCTTAGAACACATCCATTAAGCTAAGGAAGCTGAGTCTAATATCTTCAGAAACTTGTTAGCTGAGGATGGCAAGTTCAATCCTGGGTAAGACCACAGAATATTTAACAGGAACAGTCTCCGAGGCTGAGAAATTCAAGCAACTTGCCTGTATCAAATTTTGTACAAAGCAAAGCATACCTGCTACTGAGGCCCTGTTGTGTATAAAGACAACTAACCTTCTCTACACTAATTGTTGAACATGGACTCATCCATCTGCTATGAGTAGAACGTATGCTTATAGGAACTGTCGTTACAAATTGGATCACAAGGCGTAACGTTTGAGTTGTATGCATTGCTGTACTGAACTACAGTATTCTGCATAATTAATTGATATC